ACATGGGCACCAGCGACCCCCGTGACCCAAAATGGAATAAACGGGTAAAGATAATGGATGGATGGATGTTTATCATAACACATTTATTATAACATTTTTATTATAACACTTTTATAATAACACTTTTTTATAACACATTCATTGTAACACTTTTATTATAACACTTTTATTATAACACTTTTATTATAACACTTTTATAGTAACACTTTTATTGAAACACTTTTATTGTAAAATTTTTATTTGAATGTGTGGTGATGAAGGACAAAATACAAAAAATAAGACAGACAACAACAAAGTCTCATCTTTTTCTCTTATTTATTTCAAACTATCATCAGTTATTGGTTTCTGAGTTTGTTTGGTATTTTGTGGATTATCTTTTGTTGTTTTTGTTGTAATCATCTGTGATGATCAGTTTTTGGCTCTTTTCTTGGTCCTTTGCTACAGAGTTCCTCGTACCAGGACCTCCACTTCCTCACTCACACCTCAGCCCAGCTGCACTCACTTTGTAATCACTTCCTTCTTATTTACTTCTCAGGTACTTGTCTGATCCTCCTGGTTACACATCTTGTTTCTGTATGTTTGTTATTATCATTATTTTGGCTGCTCTTGTCAGCTTTCTGTATTTTTTCATCAATATTTTGGTATTAAATTCATGTGTCCACCTCTGTTTGTTTCCTGGGTTCTCATCAGTTCACAAACATGACAGATTTTGGCCACTGCCAGTGAAAATCTTTACATTTCCACCTCTGCCTCCTGTCTTTTTATTAGAGCTATTGTCTCCAAACCAAGCATCATGGAAAGTCTAATCTTGTAAACCTCTGCTGTCGCGCTTGTAGCTCTGCTTCTGTCACAGATCTTCATGTCTCTTGTTTTGGACGGTTGATTCCAGGAACTTCACCTCTACTTTGTGCAGCTTCACTGTTCCACCTGTCTCCCTCTCATACACCTTCCTCGCTATCATTCACACACAGACTATGTCCTATGTCCACTGACATGTCTCTTGTCTCCAGAGCAGACTGGCACCTCTCCAGGCTCTCTTCCACCTGCTTCCTACTCTCACTATAGTTTACAATATCATCTGCAAACATCAATGCCCTCAGAACTCTTGCCTGACCTCATCTGTCCTCATATCACCATTGCGAAAGAAAAGATGCTCTAAGCTGTTCCCTGGTGATTCCCACCCCAACCTTGGACCCATCTGTCACTGCTCCTGGTCCAACCTCCCACATTCCACCACACCTGACGTCCTCATGCAGCACAATAAATGGATTTAACAAACATAAAGTGAAGTTTGTGCAGCTACAGGCCTAACAGTTAGATTAGTGTGTTCAGCTCGTCGTACAAAACAAGAAGACTATCGCTTATCTACACCAAGTGTTCGCTGAATGCCCCACGCTTCAGAACATTCCTGCTGAATTAATAACCATTTATGTTATGTATGATATGATGATGTAATGTTTAGGAGCTGAGTGGAAATCTGGATGTTATTGCTCATGGGTACTAAAGCGTCAGTAGAAATATCCAGGAGGAGACGGCTCACAGGACGGTGATGTTTCATCACTAGATTAATGTAATTAATGTATCATATCCCAAAACTGAATAAAAAAAATAAAATAAAAACTTTTATGTGTTGAGTTTTACCACAAATGTCTGCTTGGTTCATAAAAACAGCAACTTTCGTGTCATTTAGCTCAGTTTATCTGTAAAGTACGCTGAAAAATGTGCTGCAAAATACATCTGTCAGTGATGCATATTATTTATAACAACAGTCTAATAACAGAAATAATTCAAATAAACTCTGTCTGCACAGCAAGACGTCCTGCTCAGTCTGAACTAAAGAACAAACCGGCTTCAAATGATCCGAGTTCTGTTTGGGTTTCAAATCTTCCTCAGATCAGTTTGATCACGATGTTCAAGTCCAGGTCCGACCGTTAAACCATCGTTCTTCAAACGCTCACATTACTTTCGGTCTTTGTCCCTTTTTTGTTTGATCAACCATCTAAAACTAAATATTCTGTATGTTTTCTGATTTCACACTAAAGGAATCAACTGACCGTCTTTTTATGTTAATAAAACAATTTTTTGTCCTCTCCTAAACGTGCCAGCTTTAATAAAAGAGTTCGTTGGTTGAGTTGTGTTCCTAAATCCTCACAACAATGTGTATTTTGAAGAAGAACTAATTGTGTGACTCAAACGTGGTGAAAAAGTTTCGTGTTTCACAATCGGTGGACAATGGGACGGCAGGTGGAGTGTTTGTCTGTCAGAGGTTTCAGCAGACCCGTTTGGAGGGGCTGTGATGCAACGAGGACTTTACGGAAAGGCTCGGCCTTCTGACGGTAAAAAGAAGGCCGGACTGAACCCTGAAGAAAGGAGGTCATCCTGTGTGGGAATTTCCCCTCGGTGCTGTCGGTGTGGATCTGGAAGCAGAGGAGTGCTCGAGGCTGGATTAGGAAACATGAGGGCTGTCGAAGAAAGAATGCGCAGAATGTTTGAATGAATCTGGGCCAGCCCCGACGGCACTGACGACACAAACACAAACATACTTGTGTAATTGTTGTGGGCCATTAAAAACACATTGTTTGTTGCGTGTGCTACTCTAAAGCCAGGCCTGTTGTTCTTTCTGCTGCTCCCTTCGTCAGGAGTCACTGAACTCATGAAAGATTTGGCCATTGGGCTCGAACCTGCAGCCTCAGGATGGCCCGTGGCCCTGACCACAGAGCCACCGCAGCCATGCACTCAGGATAACAACGTCTTTGTAAATGTGGGTGGAGCAGAGTTCCTTACTGTGATGTGTTGGCAAGGTTGTTACACAACCAAAAGCTGCAACCAGTTCATCACAACAACCAGTTCATCACAACAGTTCATCACAACAACCAATTCATCACAACAACCAGTTCATCACAACAACCAGTTCATCACATCAACCAGTTCATCACAACAACCAGTTCATCACATCAACCAGTTAATCACATCAACCAGTTCATCACATCAACCAGTTCATCACATCAACCAGTTCATCACAACAACCAGTTCATCACAACAGTTCATCACATCAACCAGTTCATCACAACAACCAGTTCATCACATCAACCAGTTCATCACAACAAGCAGCTCATCACAACAGTTCATCACATCAACCAGTTCATCACAACAAGCAGCTCATCACATCAACCAGTTCATCACATCAACCAATTCATCACAAAAGTTCATCACAACAACCAATTCATCACAACAACCAGTTCATCACAACAACCAGTTCATCACATCAACCAGTTCATC